GTTGCACTCGTGAAATTATACGCATATGAATTTGTTCCCGGAGATAAGATCTGAAAGTAGCTAACCTGTAAAATGTAATCAAACAATACAAATTGCACTTTAGTTAATTTGGCTTATACTAAGATAAAGACACTAATCTAATTCTATTGATTGTAAATTAGAGTGTTGATCAAAGTGATAATCAATATCTATTCTTACATATATTTAGAATATATTTAGTTATTGTCGAAAGCACGAATTTTAGCAGCTCCGTAATCGTATCGCATCATCAAAATTTCTATGAAAACTCAGCAGCGCCCCTACCGTATGTAAGAACAAACTGGCGCTATTAAAATTCTCTTATTTTTAGGGATCCGTACCTCGAAAGGAAAAAACAGAACTCTTATAGGATCACTTTCTTGTCCGTCCGTCCGTCTGTCAATACTCTTTTTCTCAGAAACGCCTATAGGTATCAAGCTGAAATTTATATCAAGTCTACTGTCCCTTAGTCCCTTAGAGCTGTGAAAAAATCAAACTTCTAAGCCAACGCAATCAAAAGATACAGCCGCTTATGCCGCCAATTTCCGCAAATTTTCGAAACTCGCGAGGGAATCAAAACCTACAGAGTAATTCCCGTGAACTCAGAACCTTGAAATTTGGTACGAAGCAACGTCTTATTAGCACAGATAAAGGAAAAGCTGCGAAACCCGTAAACTTTTAGTTACATCACATATTTTACGGAACTTCTCGGTGCACGAGTCCGACTCGCACTTGTTCGGTATTTTCCCTATAAATTTTGGCGATGACGATACGTTTACGGAGCTATCAAAGTACGTGTTTGGGCCTCTCGTAGTAAAATCTTTTAAAAGAGGCGTGAAGAAGCAACATGCAGGCCGGCAGGGTGAGAATGGCTGGTGTGGCAGGTAGAACTGCTGTATCAGCTATCTTCGCGTCTGGACTTCACCTTCACTTAACATCAGGTGGGGTGGAGTCATTTGTCGGACCTATCTATAAAAAAAAAAAAATTAGTAACGCAAAGTAATCAAATGAGTTATGAAGTACCAACTCCGCTTCTTGAATAAAATAACATACCCAGAACCCCTATATAAATGGATCCAATTACATCGGCCTATTGACCGTGACCAATGACCCCGTAAATGATTGAAACTGTATTAGTAGTTTACAGTTGATCAGTTCAGCATTATCACATTGTCCGGATTGAACTCGATTCAATGAAATCGAGGTTGGCTTGCAACTGATGTTATAGGTCATTGAAGTAAAATATGTGATATCTCGTATTCATCTCCACTGGGCCTCCCTCATGGGTCTCACCCGGTGGGCTTGACCGCGCCGAGGGCGACGCGTGAAGTCGCGGAGGGGGGTAGACCCACATAGACCGCCCCATACGTATACGGGGCGCGAACCCGCAACATCTGAGGTGGGCACACAGCCCAGAGCAGATTCCCCGCACGTCGCGGCGTCTCCGGCGCCGGCGACGCGCGACATGAAGAAGAGGACGTATTCATCTCCTTAAAAAATGGGTCTTTATCATTCACATCAACATAATTTTATTGTCAAATATCCGCTTTACCCGCTCACTTGTTGCCTCCCGGCCCGGGATCCTTAAAGAAGGCATGAAGATGCAATGTGCAGGCCGGGAAGGTGAGAATGCTGGTGTGGCAGGTAAAAATACTGTACCAGCTATTTTCGTGTCTGGCCTGCACTGCCGCATAACATCAGGTGGGGAAGTTACTCATAAAAATCGTCTTCCCTTTGTCTAGATCTATCTTCTAGTGTCTATTGTATCGTGTGTAGCAGTATTTCAGCAAGTAGAATGCTTTGCTTTCTTCTCCGCTTGAATATTGTTATAAGTTGTTAAATACATATTCCATAATTAAAATTCATAATCAGGTTTAAACGCCTACGTACTTAGGTATTATGATGAATTAATATTTATCATCTATAACTTTTGAACAATATACGGGGCTACGTTGTGAGTGTGTCCTAATCCTAATGCGGTTTCCCCATACGAACTTCGCTTATATGCAACGCTCTTAATAGCAGCTACAACGTCTCGTTCCGTTGTTCGTTGCCGTGTGTTAATACGTGTAAGTGGATGTAACAAAATTAACAATTGAAAGTCGTCAACGAAGTCATCGACCCGCATAAAAACGGCCGCGTCGATGTCCGCCGCATATTCAGTGGATGAGCGAAGCAATTTTCACATTATTCATGCCGCCTGAATATTCATCCGTCATCCGTTGACCTGCCATTAATTGTTATAGCCAAGAGCCTCTTAACTATACTGACACACAGCTATGATGGTAATGCAACCACCTATCATGCGAGTTTAAACTTCTAACTCTGCATGTCAAGAATTAAGACAAATAATTATGATGCATGGTAATTGATGATAATTCAGATTCGGTCAGATTTATAGTATCTGTTCATACAAATAGTATTACCATTATTAAAATATTACACAAACAAACCAACCATTATCGCATACTATCCCCTTTTCATTCTTTCTGTATACATCTTTCTATTTCTCTTACCTACCTAGGATCGAGCTTTCTTCCTTCTACCTACCCTAACCTCTGTTTCTTCTCCATCTTCCCTATATGGTTGAATACCGACTCGGCCTCGCTATTGGTAAATTTATGCGCCCCATCAAACTCCACCCATCATCAAGTAAAAACTAAGTGAAACAAAGTGAACAAAAATAACAGTAGAGTGAAAAAACTCTGCAAGCATGCGGTTTTTGTTTTTAGATAGCTTAATTAAATGGAGATGAATTAGATCAAGACAAATGGAAAAAGCATTAGGCATATCTACCGTCAATTTCTTCAATTTATTTCATGCTATATATAAATTTATTACCCATTGAGAATTTTATAGATTAGTAGTTATATCAAACACAAAAATTCTATATATAACCTATATAGTTTACCTGTTATTATAGAAAGTTAGACACAAATTTTGTTTATAATATCTACATTATAATATCGATGCAGTCGGAAACAGAACTTGGTAATACTAAAATGATGAACACCATCGTCAAGCAAGTATTCTGAGTTTTAAAGTAACAAATTTGTTTTGTATTTTGATGTTTATTTGTACTCAAACGAACTATTATGGCAAAAACATTCACTTCAAACGACACGTTTTTAGGTTTTTTTGGTTCCTTACTGATGGGCCGCTTTTCATTCCACAATATAAAATATGGCTTTGGCACAGCAAAGACTGTTCAAGAACGAAATCTGTCAATCAACCTGATGAAATATAATTCCGCGGCCGCAGAAAATTCTCGTCTTTCCCTGCGATTTTCAATTACAGCAGTGCTTTATAAAAAGGGCAAACAATAAATCACTAGAGATAATTTCGCCCAGCAGCTCCGCGAATTCGCGGTTTTTTATTCGAGCGGTCGTGTCGTGTCGTTGCGAGAGCGTCCCGTCAGTGTGTCACTCCAAGATGTTTTATGGATGGGGCCTTCGATTCACCGAGCTCATCGTTTATTACAGCCGTGTGAATATTGATTTTTGGGTCAACCGCTTCACTTTGTATATGTACTTCGTTTTAGCGCCCATCTCTATTATATTCTTTGCCTATTTTGCGACACTGCCGCCAATAAAATGGATGCACATGAATACACAATGGAAATTTACGAGCGCGCCGCTCACTTATTTTCCACGGCATATTAGTCGAGATAACGCAATCCTTTTACGGGAATAATCACTTAAGCGATATAATATATTGCTAAACTACGCACATATTGTGTGCGTAGTTTAGCAATGCCGATTGTTTGGACTTATTGTTTTGTTAAGTAAATTGGTTGGTATTTTTGTTTTGTTTTCGTTTAATTGTTTAGTATCACAATACATACACGCCATTTTCAAATAGATAATATAAACACGTTACGTTTAAATCTCATTATGTTTAACTTTTCTTTTCAGGTCTTTTTAAAGAAGATAAATCTAGAGAACCATGCAGAAATATTTAATAATGTCCCATAAATCTCCATTCACTTTCTGATGTTATAAAGATACATGCCGGCGCAGCCATCGCACTTTGCCTGCAGGTCTAAAATCGCGACATTGCGATTCATCTGATTGCAATTCATTTTCCAAAGGAAAGTCAGAGTACTGATTGATACTCACATCTACGTAGGGCCGGGCTTTCTTCATAAGCACTCAATTTATTCAAGGACTTGAATTTAATGAATTATAAAACAACTCTATAATATTGAGAAAACCTTTATTTCAAACGAGAAAAGAATTCAACGCAATACTACACAGTCGTAAAGAACTTCTTCTGTAAGGTTGAAATACTACTCCAGGACTTAGCCACTAGTTAACGATGTATCGTAAACAACAAAATAGAGGGGCTCAATGGAGCAAGTAGTTAGCGCGTTCGGCTGCGATCGTCGAAGTAAAGCAACTAACGCAGTGGTCGGCCATAGGATGGGTGACCAAAAATGTATCTCCTACTCCACAAGGCACGTTATTCCGTTGTTAAAAATAAATTTAACATCAGATACACGGTTGTCAAATTTAAGTTTAGGTTTCAAGAATCATGCTAGAATCGTCATCAAAATCCTTTTTAGTAAATCTTTTCGATATATTGTTTTAAACTTTCATGGTCACTAACATTATAGTAATTTATGTTATTTACGAAATTGTTACCATGTACTTTGTTTTTTAGCGAGTTTCCGATATTATGAGAATGTGAACAGTGGTACGGGTATCGAAAGCAATAAAAGACTTCGGCGGAGGGTAGACCGGTATGTTTGCCAATAACAGCGTACCCGCAATTGCTTCAGTTACTCCGTGACCATGGTGCTTGCAACAGTGCCACGAATTATCGGTAACTCTCTTAAAACAAGGTACATGGTAACAATCCCGTAAATAACATAAATTACTATAACGTTATGTCGATAAAAGATTTTATGATAAAGACCCCTTGACCTAAAATAACAAAGGTTTTGATGAAAACGATTCGCTTATAATATGCTCTTTCCACAGACACCAGGGAGACCGGGTTCGTGAATGCCATCACAGCGGCGGGGGTGACATACTCCATCACGAGAGCCTGTACCGCCGGGTCTCTGCTCGAATGTTCTTGCGAAAAGGTATAGGTACTTTCTTTTCATGTCGCTTTAGATAGATTAAATAGTTAAAAACATTGTAAGCTTTGAAGCCCAGTAAGGAATATTAAACCGAATAACCGGTTTATCATAATATGAAATTTGGTATACAAATAGTTTGAGTCCCGGCAATGGATATGGTATAGTTTTTATCCGAAACATCAATATGATTTTATTTATTTTTTAAACATTTAACTGCTAGATGTTTAAATCTAAAGAAAAGTTTACTAGAAAAAATCCACGCGGACCAGGCAGCGGACGGGACTCGAACCCGCATCCTTCGCTATCCGGGCGAATGCACTGACCATTATGCTACCACGGCCCTATTAGCCACGTCGAAATTTTCCTAGCCTTAAGCTGCAAGGCAGCGCCATCTATTCGCATTGTAGGTAACCCAAACATCATTGTTTAAGTGGGATTAAAAGAAGAGTGGAAGTTACTAATCAAAACACGCAAACGAAGTCGTTTGCACCCGCTGATGTGGGATGAAAAACATCATCATTATAGCCTATAATGTCTCCACTGATGGGGCACAGGTCTTCCCTGTGAATGGAATAGGAAGATTGGGTCGTGAACCACCACGCAGGCCAAGTGCGGATTGATGGGTGCTAACGAATGCAGATGCAGCCGGGATCAACGGCTTAACTTGCCTTCCGAAGCACGGAGGAGCTAAAGATAGTAAGTTTTTGGTCACCCATCCAGTGACCAGTTCCACAGTTGCAGGCCGAACTGCCACTTCTTTGGTTCATTTGTGAGTCAAGGTATATGTTACTATAATAAAATACCAAAAAAAAAGAAATAATTAATTTACATTTTTATAAGTTTAAAGTGTGTATAAAAACATGTCTCCTTAAGAAAGGTTACTATACTGTTAAAGATTTCATAAATGATAAGGCGCCTTGGGCTTAATACAATAGACAAAGTTGTTTTACTTTGCTAATTTGGTTGGAAATTGTTTAATCGCCTATTCGAAATTTAAAAATAGTCCCTAGCTATACTTATTGTTAATTGATATTATTATGATGAAAGTTGACATTAACACATGTTTAAAAATTTTGATGTCATCTTTCAATTGACGACACTGAATGAAACAAAACCGGCAGAACAAAATAGCCCATGCCGAATTTCTTGCCGATTCTTCGCAGTACAAGACCTCCCGCCGTAGATTTACGAACCGATGGTGTAGGGTTTGACTTTCACAAGAGCTTATAACAGCCTAGACTGAATAAATGAGTTTGAATTTATGCTTTGAAACGCAGTTTGGAAAATTCATACTTTAGGTTTTAGATTTGGGCCTTTACGTTATTTCACAGTTTTATTTGCGTGGTGCACAATTGAAAGATAACGGATTTGTTAAAGAATAGTTGGTTATTTGTGCAAACAGTAGATTTGCTAAGAGTGAGTTTTAAGCTCTATCTTGTTCACGTAAACATATGAAATTCAAGATTTGTTGTCGAAGTAAGGTCACCCGGGGCAATTGTAGGTACTAAAAATTTATGTCAAACTTGTAACTTGAATATTATTTTATGATACACATGTATTAATGATAACATATACGAATTAAGATTTATAGAGAGTCAATAAATGAATTCAAAATTGAAGATATTTCATGTTAAAGCCGCCAATAATCACATTTGCCCGATCTGAGGTAAATGTACCTCTGTCTGTTACCTCTTCGTGGTTATAACCGATTAATCAATTTAGATGTAATTTCGTACAATGATAGTTAGACTTCCGGGAAAGGATATAGAATAGTTTAGATTCCAAACATAATAGCTTAAGAGGGACGAAAATGGGGAGAAATTTAGTTTGGGAAACCAATTAAACCACGCAAATAAAGACGTTCACACCCGCTGTTTTGGGATGGAAACCATTGTAAGAGAATTCAAGGTCCTTATCTAATAAGGTTTAAATAAAATACACGTTTACCGTGCTACTCGATTTATTTACGACTGCCGTTCAGAGCAACGCACGATACAAGTGCAATGCAATTTGCTGACTCCGCAGACAATGCATGGTGTCCTTACAACCATGTTCAATATTCATTTGTTCCCACAGGGGATACCCAAGCCACGTCGCGGGCGTGGATCAAGTGTCGCGCTCCCCTCTTCCCCGGTCCCGACGGACCGGTGGCAATGGGGCGGCTGCAGCGACAACGTGCGCTTCGGCCTCAAGAAGTCTAGGGAATTCATGGACAGCAGATACAGGAAGCGGAGCGACATCAAAACCATGATCAAGCTTCACAACCACAACGCTGGGAGGTTGGTTAGTAATGTTCTTTAAGAATTGGAATACTAACAATGGTGTTATATCGAATCTTGGAAAAAAGAAAGTGAGTGAGTTTAAAATAAGACTTGTGGCAGGACTGCCTGCAATTTTTATCAATAGACCAATGGCACCAGCAAACCCTGAAAAACAGGTATTTGTTATAGAAAATCCACAAATGTATACAAAAATAAATATTACCAACACTCACACCAATTAGCTAGCCCCAAAGTAAGCGCTATAGGCTTTTGTTACGGGATACTAGGGTAACGGATATAATAACTACAAATACATATATAAGTATATTTATATAGAAAATACATGTTAAACATCCAAGACTGAAGTACAAATGCTCGTATTCATCACACTAACATCTGCCCTCACCAGGATTCAAACCCCTCTCGAGTAGGCGACACTTTGAAACCCAGCGTACAAACCACCACGAAGGTTGACAAAATAGTGTCACGTAGCCTTCGATCACCGTAGCACTCAAAAACACATGAGCAATATTTTTTTGATTTTTAATATTTAAGAAATAAATGACTTACAAAAATCAGTTATAACGTAATGACATGTTGAAATAAAAATTGATATCATAAAACTCATAAAGTGCTCATTTCAGGCAATAAAAAATAATATGAAAGTGGAGTGTAAATGTCACGGGCTATCAGGCTCTTGCACGCTGAGGACATGCTGGTTAAGGATGCCGACTTTCAGACAAGTTGGCGACAAACTTCGGGACAAATTCGAAGGAGCCGCTAAGGTAATCTTTTACTAATGTGTGTTTTTCCTTAAGTAAAAAAGTCACAGGAGACCCAAGAGCTGGCAGTTACCTCGGACATAGAATTAGTCTAGCCATTCAAAGGGGGAACGCTGCCAGTATCTTTGGAACCTTGCCTAAAGGGACTCCTTTTAATAATGCATTTTAATTATTATATATTTTAAGGTTTTTAGTTATAAATATCTTACTATTTGTGCTTTAGTGATATTTCTCCATTTTTCAAAACAGTATATAAATTATGGACTCTCATATTCTTTCCAACTTCTCAATAACTTATGAGGCTCTTATAATTATTTAAAAAAAAGTGTATATACCTAAGTCTAACAAATGACGATGAACAGCAGTGTATCAAAATTAGACTTTACGTACACATTTATTGTTGTGATGACAAATTATTGTAGCTCAGTTGCTTTTAAACGGACTGTTGAACTTAACGGGGGTGGAAAATTTTAGGGTAAAAAGAAATAATGGGTGTGTAGGACGGGTGACCAAAAAATATGTTATTTTGTACTGCTCCGTACTTCGAAAGGCACGTACATCCGTGAGTCATGGATGCATCTGTAGTTGTTATTACCCACCGATCCAAAGTGAGACCATGAGGTCAGAGTTAATTAAAGGGCTGATTAGGTGATAATTTTATTAATAATTTGTTTCAACAATATCTGCAAGGTTGTTTTATAAGAAAAGGTGACAAATATAGTAGCCACAAGCCCGCGTAAAGGCGAGGTTACACAGTGCGAGCTGCTGATGTGACAGTAGACAGCTACTGTACCGCTGTACATGCATAGCAGTAGCTCTACTCGTCTTACCAAAATCGGAGTCAGAGTCGCATGCGAGTTGCTGCTTGTGCGTAGTAGGGTAAAGCGACTGCCGAGTATTTAAAAAAATGCTGTAGTAAATCCGATGCGAGCTACTAACAGACTTGCACATGATAGTAACTCGTATGATGCTGTCACATAATGCGAGTAGCTGCACTTCAGTAACTGACTAGGCCAACTCGCACTGTATGACCTAGCCTTAAGGGGAAAGGGAGGCTGCTGGGTGCGGAGACGCGAAGAATCCCTAAACGGGGATCCCGCGGTTTCGCACTAAGCAGCTTAGAGGGTATTCGCAAGGTTTTAAGCGGATATTATGCTGTAAAGCGCCCGCAAGAGTTACAGTGTCCTCAATGGGCAGCCACTGTGGAGGCTCGTAAGGTTTGCGGGAGCAAGGTGTGAGGTCCGTTCGGCGGTGTGCCTCTTAAAGGCGCCGTCGTCTGTAAACAGAGTTTTTGCCTGCGGCACAAAAAAAGCCTTTAGGGTAAGCGGCATATATAACCCATATAGAACACTAAATAAAAAAATATATATATAAATAAATAAATAATAAATAATATTAAATAAATATATAAATAAATCAACAATACAGCTCCAACATGTAGAGACCTTACTCACTGACAGAAACACAAGAATTATATTCTGTAAGTTTTCTTGTTTTTATGTGAACTTTGCTCTTTTACTGAATTAATACTCGAAAAAAAACCCTTAAAAATTATCATTTTCTAATTCAAGCAGACAGGCGCGGCCTATCTGTATTGGTCGCTGGTGTTGGACCACTTGCTTACATTGCAAGCGAATACAACTTGCTGTTAATGTAGGTAGAATCTGAGAATTTAAATAAATATGTTTTCTAATCAAAAATAAACATTTCAATAATAATAAAATAAATAAATTTATGTTAATAATTTCTATTGTAAACAACATATTGCTGTTCTTCTGTTGTCTAATAGCAGGACAGTGTTTGTGTGAACTTTAATTTATTTATGAATTTATTGTCAAACAGGTTATAGCAAGTAACGATGGTGATAGCTTTATGCCTGAAAGTCCAAGCATAAAGAGACCGGGCAAGAAGGATATTATTTACTCTGAAGAATCCCCAGATTTCTGCAGTCTTAATATGAAGACTGGATCTCTAGGCACTTACGGGCGCCAATGCAATGTCAGCTCCGCGGGAACCGACGGTTGCGATCAACTCTGCTGCCGCAGAGGCTACAAACAAACGACGGTCAAAGAGACTGAAAACTGCAATTGCCAATTCAAGTGGTGTTGCGAAGTAATATGTGAAACTTGTTACGTCAAACGAGACGTACAAACGTGCCTTTAATGTGATAAAAGCTGTATTAAATGTAATAAACCAATAAATAAATTTGTATATTTATTAATATCATTATTTCATGTTTTTTGTTAATTTTATTTTTCTTCCCCTTCGACGTTTCCTATCTTCGTCATTATAGTCTGAAAGCTCATACAAGGGATCAAATCCTTTTAAGGCTTTGAAATTCGGAATATTATGTGAGAGAGCTTTGTTATCTCCTTCAACTCCTCTTTCTGAATTATCTCTACTTGTCATCTTATTTTCTTCCTTTAAATCCTCCTTACTTTCTTTTTCAACGTTCTTATTATTTTCTTCGTCTACATTTTTCTCCGCTTCTCCCTTTATTTGCTCCTCATTCTCTTCTCCTATGTCCTTATTGTTTTTTTCTTCTACACCCACAACATTTTCACCTTCTTCCACATTTCCACTTTCATCCTTTAAGTAATCTGAACCGGTATACTTTTTAGGCTTAGGTCTAGGTTTGACCTTTTCTTCTGGGTATGATTGAAATTGACTAAAATTTCTTCCAGGTTTAAATAATTTTTTACATTCGGGAACCTTAATGGTTTTAGATTTCTTTCTAGATATGTAATTATAAAGCATCCGTATTTTTAAAACATCAGTATAACTAAATCCTTCGTTTTCTCCGACAGGAATTTCATTAGGTTTCTGTAATTAACATATATTATACATTTCTAAAATGTAAATCAGATTTATTTTAATTATTCAAAGGATCATTTTAATTTTACGTTAATATGATGATTGTTCATTTCAAATTGTTTACCTTTGGAGTAATACTTGCTAGACCATTTTTTGTATGCTTGTGGAAGTTAAAATGACCGGCGCTATTGAAATCATATTCTAAGTCATGAAACAGCCAATCTCTGTTTTGTAACTTTTTAAACAAGTATTGTTTGTCTGTAAAAACAAAGGAATGATGATGAGCTTACAGATAACAATATTTATAAAATCTATATTTTGTGTATTTTTTCTGACACGTGGAAATGTAAAGTTTAAATACTGCTAAATAAGTTTAATTTTTTTATTTTTACCTGGTAATATATTTTGCATTTCTACTTGGATATAAGCATCTCTGTCAGGGGCATTATGCTGTGGTGATACGCCGACTATTGCTAACACTGCTTCAGACAGTTCTCCTTCTTCGTTCATGCAGTTATAGCCAAGAACTACTTTCTAAAATGAAAACAGTTTGTAGTACTTGACAAAATATGTAAAACCAATATTAAAGATGGAGTCAGAAATGGATGCGAGGCAAGTATGAATACTATGTTTAAAGAACTGGATATAAGCAAGGTGAATTTTAAAAGCATTAGTTATCTCAGAATATATACCTACATATGTATAATTATGCATTATTAAAATTACAATGGAAACTTCATAAAATAAGATATAGATGGTAATAGAACGCTATTCACAAGCGTTCCAAAATAGTTTTGCAATTAGGGTAAATGCTTTAATTGCTTTGATTAATTGTTTTATAAAAAAATAATAATCATTGCATTTGAATTCGCACCTGCACTCCTTCGTTTGTGTATTTCAACGGCGTATGATCAGAACAACCGAGCTGAGCTTGCCTGTTGACAAAGAATACCCATCTTGCACTTGTGTCCTCTGGAGGACCCGGTAATTCTCTAAAATGAAGTCCTGTCACCCCTCCCACCATCTCTAGAAAGTGTCGAATGCGATCACGGAGGACTTTATCTAATCATAGGAGAAAGAGATTTAAGAGTTGAATCAATTTATCAACTGGTAGGTGCAACGATCCTGCCTTCTGCTACGTGATTCTGATTACACCGCGTACCCTTTGTTTACACCAAGATACAAGCCATGTACTAGTATTACACAAAACTTGTAGAATACTTGTTGTGAATATTTAAATCATTCTTTCATTTACACTGCATAGACAACTTGTACCTTTACAAGTATAAGTCACTTATTTACTTCACATATTTTGTTTATCCAATATGTTTGATAAAAGAATTGCATAGGTACTACAATTTTTTATACATTAATGTAAGTCTGAACAAAAAATTAAGACATAAAATTTGTTAAATACATGTTGCAAACGAGGGTTCACGGATAAAGATACCTATTTATTTGTTGATATACACAAATATTTGTTCCCAAGTCATAGTAGCACAGATTGGTATCTATAGTGCAAGATCTGCATAATTTCGGATTCATGTCATTTTATCCAGAATCTATTAATTATAATTTTTAAAATTGTATAAAAGAATCAATTTATAAAACTAGTAATTGGATATTGCAACTACGACAAAATATGGCAACAAATCTTTTAAAATATCTCCAACATGTAGATTTATATGTGGGATCATCGTTGACTTACTTAAGACTTAAAAGAAGTGCTATTGGTACTCCATTTTCTCGGTCACTTCAAATATATTTAAAGTGGATGTTAACGACAACATAGGGAAAAGTGTAACTAAAGTAGTCGGCTACAGGAACACGAAACTTTATGACTACAATGCCAATAATTATATCCTCTTATATTCGACATTAACTTTCACTGTGAATCATTGTCATAAGACAAGAAACCAAAAAGAACTTGCCGTAGGAAAAATCGTCGATGAAGTAAGGAATGACTCCATTCGGCCACAATTTGAATTTCTTTATCTCGGCATCAGTCAGATCGAATCCTGGTTCGGCTTCTTCTAGACCGCTCACCGACACTCTTTCTTTGAGTACGTTTATTGCCCATCTATCTGCCAGTCCGAAGAAGGTGAGCTTGTGAATACTTTCTGCTGATGTCAGACTTCCTGTGAGAATAATTTTATATAGAATAAGTAATTTTGACAACATAGAATTTTTGATATTGCACGTAATAATAAATCTCATATTTTAATGAAACAGGAAGTCGCTTTATAACATTCCTAAATTCATAAAAATTGGTTTATTGGTATAGGCTAAATAGCATAGAAAGGAGAGAGATAAAGAAAGAGTTACTTCCAAATTTACAAATATATTTTAGAGGACCCGGTTTTTTTCCCGCGAATGATTGAAGTTGTGAAATAAGCTCCATCTTAAGGTTTTCTCAAAGTAATAGAGCGCAGTTTTCTCTAAAAGTGACGAAGTTTATACCTGTTAAAACTTCGTCAAAAAGCATAAGAGTAACATCAGTCTTGGGAAGTGTCTATAGGCCATGGCGATTTCTGAGCAATAAGGAGACCGTTTGCGTGTTTTTCTACGTAGTCATATAAACAAGGAGCTCGATGGTGCCAGTGGTGACCAAAAACTTATTATCTCGAGTTTCTCCGTGCTTCAGAAGGCACGTTGGTCCCGGCTGCATCTGCAGTCCTTAGCACCCACCATTCCGCATTGGGCCCGCTTGGTGGGTCGCGGCTCAATCATCCTATCAAAGTATAGGGAAGTCCTATGCCCCAGCAGTGGGTACATTTATCCTTTAGGAGATATATTAAGGCGTTGATCCTAGCTACTTCTGCAGTCCAATCAGCACACACTCACCAATCCGGTCTTTGCGACGGGATATAATTGAAATTGGTTCTTCCTTTTTTAAATTATGTTTATAAAGTAGGGCTATGTCTTCAGTGAAGACATTAGAGGTCTGATTATTTTACAGTGATCCCAAGCATATAAAAGAATTCAATGAATTTCTAATGCGCGTTTCTAATGCGTTTGTTTGTTCAATAAATGCTCAGAACAATGTTGCGTTCCTTCCACTGATAACTGAGCAAGAGACCATTCGTTTCCTGAGCCCAGTCAAACATCGTTGTACGAACTTGTTCGCTCACTCTGATGTTTCCACTTACCGAGCGAGCAAATGTTTGCTCGTTCAAAAACATTTCAAAACTGTTCTGAGCTTAAGTGGAAACGCAGCGCAGGACACATACAGGATTACCTCTGTGGCTGAGTGGTATGTACGCCGGGTTTCATGATCTCACCTACTCAGAGGATCCGGGTTCAAAACCCGGTGAGGTAAATTTTTGAATGATGAATACGAGCATTTTTACCAAGTCATGGATGTTTATAAGTTATTTCTAGATATCTATACCTATCTATATAATGCATCAGTATATTTATTATAGCGGTTAGTATTGCATAAAAGCCTTACAATGCTTACTTTGGGGCTATGCTGATGTGAGTGTTAGAAATATTTATAATTATTATTATTGTAATAATCCTATTTATAGTGAAAAAAAAATCGAGAAAGATATACCTCTAGTCTTGTGGATCGCTACTCTCAAAATGAAAATAAATTAAAAATACACTTACGTTTGATGGGCACAGCACATAATATAAAAAAGAATATGAATATTCGAATACATTTCCAAACCATTTTCCTTACAGCACTGTAACTACGAAGTGTGTGGTATATACAATTTTTATAGCTCGTGCTGATATAATTCTAAGTGTCTGATAACAGAGGCCGTTGAGCAATAGCGAATATGGAGGGAACATATTACAAATGCATTTGTTTTGTAAAAAAAACTTAATTATGTCTTTCTTTTTCAATCCATCCTAGTTGAAGAACTTACTAGGTGAATTTAATTCATGCCATCACTTTCCAAACTCACCTACATGGGAATCTACCTCATAATATGTCTATACTTTAAATCTTTTAATAAAATTTAATTTTATTAAGCTGAAGATTTTGTTTGTCTGTTTGGTTAAACGCGCTAATCTCAAGAACTACTGATTCAAATTAAAAAAGACTGGAGCGGAGCATTAATGAAAAATGTTGCAAAAACGGGGGAAAAAATATTCTTTTTCACAGCTTTCGTTGCATGCTTTGCGTAAATGGTTCAAGTTACACAAATATCACGTACAACGGAATTGTTGCTCTTTAAAAGTTCTTTAAAAAAGGTCTTCCATTCATTTTCCTTAAGGAAAATCATTCTAAACATATTCTATACTATAATATATAGATACAAAAATAATAAATATAGTCACACTATCTTATTTTTGCATCTTATACTGAAATGGTTGCATAGGAACAGGAAGGAAAATTCACCAGAAAGCAACATGCTCTCATAGATTGTAGTGATATATTTGTAAAAAAAGTAGTTACGGAATATATTGTTCTATGCGATATTCAACTCCAGTCAAGTAGTTTTTTGTTCCATTTTTAATATCTGAGAGTTATCTTGTACGCATCCTTCGGCCAACGAGGTAGCAAGAAGATATCTGTGGACTGCTCCCTGTCCATTTCATCCAGCTCTAGAGCCCAGTGAAAACCAGACAATACTCCTGCACCGGTCATCCGGCACGCATTTTGAGAACCGAGGTCCCCACAATGCGCGCCGGGAGTGCGGGTGTAGTCGTAGCGCCCGTGTTACAGACCGGCCATACAATGTAGTTTTTTTTTGAGGAGCTCAATGGCGCAGGTGGTTTGCACGTTCGGCTGCGATCGTTGAAGTTAAGCAACTTTCGCAGTGGTCGGCCATTAGATGGGTGACCAAAAATCTTCTATCTCGAGTTCCTCCGTGCTTCGGAAGGCACGTTAAGCCGTTGATCCCGGCTGCATCTGCAGTCGTTAGCAACCGCCAATCCGCACTAGGCCCGCATGATGGGTCATGGCGCAATCTCCTAATTCCATCCATAAAGAAGGCCTGTGCCCCAGCAGTGGCGATATTAATAGGCTGATGATGATGATAGAATCTGTCTTCTCCGTAAAGAGGTAATTATATTACCTCCTTCTGTTGAGAAGTTAGAAAAATTGTTAAGAACAGCAAGATGGCATTGACTGCGGTCTAGTTACAGCACATCAACTAGTTTTAGCAATTTACTGACGTTAATGAATGTTAAATGTAAGTTGAGTCAACATAGTTGCTTGGGTTGAGTATGCTACTCCGGCTAACCTCACCTAGACTTTAGGGGGCCTATGTCCAGCAGTGGACATCCATCAGCTTACTATATCTACATACCATCCAAAATTCTTTGGCTTGAGACATTAAGATCAATAATACATTTGTATAAGTATGTTTTGTTGGTCTGAATACATAATATAGTCATAGTCATGCACGATATGGCTCTGTGGTGAGATGCATGCCTCCTCCTTGCTGGCCACTGATATTCAAATCACGCTTGACGAACGGGCGGAAATATAGAAAAGCAATTTTCCTTGTCACTTCTGGCTCCTGACTGAACAATTCTATCGCGCGGGCAGCTTTTATAATTTATCTCTGAATTTAAATAGTTATTTAATATAAATATTGCTATTTCTCTATAAATAACGTTTTTATCTCCTTTTAGAGCTTTCGCTTTTATTGTGTAGACATCGTTTTGTGTGGAGTACCCGGAGCTGGGGTACCACAGCTCATATACTGAAAGTATTAATTTAAGTATTTATTTAGTTATTTACTGTCTAATTACAACAAAGTAACAAAGTGGTGCGTTTTTAATTTTCTTTTTAGTCGAATATAGGATATTTTTAAACGTGCTTATAACACATGCGTGCATCTATCTAGTTCACATGTTCATTCAGGCACGCCATTAACTTTTATCTGTGTCTGTTGTCTCGCAACGGACGTGTCAAAGATATTCTCGCTTGATTAATGCAATCGGTGCCGGAATCGCGCAGACATTGTCTACAAAAGCCTATTATTCTTTGTAAGTTCCACGTATCCATCACTACCCCTCCCGTCTCATTCCTTGCCAGTGCGAACGCTCGCGGAATGCAAAAATACACTCGCGTGAAAAATTATTCACGCTATTTCAGATTCAGCCACGCCATTCGTATCCTTTATGACAGATTTCTCAGTTCATAAACATAAATTTTCCAACGTGCGCGATACTCGTGGGAACGAGCCCCGGGCCACCAGCGACCACCAACACCGAACGACTTTTCACTTTCGACACCGGTTGCTGATCAAAAACCACCTTTAAAATTTAAACGTTTAGACGCATTTCGAAACGCTGCATTGGCTCGCTTGCCTTCGGTTAGAAAATAAAGTTGTTTCAGAAAATTGCGCGCTATCAGAACCGACCTCAACGGTTGCGTTCACAATAAAACAATATGGCGGAGGTATGACAGTTGTATTATGTAGTGCTTGCGCATAAATATCAAGATGGCAGCCAGGCCATATATCGAGCAGTGGTCATCTTCGGGGTTGGTGGTCGAACAGGCCCGCAAAACGAATGACCGATCTCTCTACTAATGCTTTCCGTCGCATTCAACTCATACTAATGTGCCAGAGGCAGCAAGCGGGATTGTCGATTACGTTCCATAATACACCCCCCGAGGAACAGCCGACACGGTAATGTCGACAGATAAATGTCTAATAGAGTTGTTACCGTCTTGTATATTCCGCGATGATAATACGTCATGCCGCTTACATTGTTTCGAAAGTAACGATTTATCATTTGTTACGCAGCTGGATGAAGCAACAACGGCTAAGGGCAAGTCTGCATCTTGTGTGTCAAATCAAACCTTAATAGGTAAATATAACCAACCTCTGGCGCTGAGAGAACGCGGTGGGTATTTTCTTGAGATGGTAACATTGTAATATGAAAGGTTAGAAAAATGTTGTGGTAAGTACGACTATCTAAATATATTATGTCCTTGATCTTGTGACACGTGGTTACTGATATCTGAAACACTTCCTTTCCTTAGTAGTTAAAACTATGTATATTAGAGGAGGATGATAGATGACACATGATGATGACACTTGGAAGATGATAATCACGATATTACATAGGAAGACCACTTTAGCAGTACAGGTGCAGACTTATAGGATTTTGATATGAATAAAAATAAGAAGGAGCAGAATAATTATGTGAATGATCAATTGCGCAGGTGGTTGGCGCATTCGGCCTGCGATCGTGCAAGTTAAGCAACTTTCGCAATGGTCGGTCATTGGGTGGGTAACCTTAAAATTATCTCGAGTTCCTCTGTGCTCCTGAAGGCATGTTAAGCTGTTGGTCCCGGCTGCAACTGCAGTCGTTAGCACTCAGAAACCCGCACTGGGCCAGCGTGGTAGGTTATAGTCCAATCTCTGTATTCCGTCCATAGGGAAGGCTTGTGCCCCAGCAGTGGGGACATTAATAAGCAGATGATGATGAAGTGAGATTTTAATTACAGCATCGACATGCAGGTGCAGACTTACCTATATGATTTTGGTATGAATAAAAATAATTTAATCACATAAATGAGAAATTTTGTTAACACCTCGTGATAAACCTTGTCACTTTGTATCGATAAACTTACACAAGCCAAACTGCCATTTACCGGCTTTCTCGTAGTGACTACGCTTGGACAAGGGACAGATATAACATTCACTGCATTTTACTGTAGCGATGGGTTGGCCATGGCCATTCTGCCATACCTGCTGTTTTAAGGACAATTTTTTAAAATTGAATATGTCAACTTTAGCGCCAGTAACTTACGGCAGGGTATTATTTATGTGCGTCTATTATGAGCACGGCACGGGTTATGTACTTTGTGCTATGAATGTGAGTGAGGGAATTACGATATTTTCGCATAAATTTAGACGCCCACCTTACAGAATATCATAGTGAAATAACACTGCCTTTTCAAACTATTGAGTTTAAGGCCCGTATTATAGAAAGATTCTCAGTGATTGATCTAGTCTTGAGCATAGTTAGAAAGGGATGTCGCTATATATAGCACATAGCGATATCCCTTTCTAACTGTACTCAAGTAAAGATCAACAAATAGTTGTCATTCTATAATACAGACCTTAGTGTGTGAGTACAGTTCTGTAAGAATGGTATAATTTTCTGTTCTGCACTGAAGTTATGAATTGTTAGAAATAAGATTAAGTTTATTTAGAAGGGTAGTTAACATCCGTAATTATCCTCTTATTAGACCGCTTGCAATAATATCAATCGCTTTTTGTTTGTTCTACCCCGTGGACCCTTTTTTGGTATCTGGAAAAATCGTTACGCCTTTCTGAACCATCGGGAGTACAGGTATCTGAAGATTCAAACAGGGAAAATCTGAGGACTCCTCCCCGCTAATTTCATCCAGCCCAGAGGTTCGGTGCAATGAGCAGACCTTACCTAGTGAAAACCAGATAATACTGTGGTCTGTTTGCTGTGGTCTTCTCTGAAGTTACTTACATATATCGGCACTCCGCTCAGCGCATTTTCCCCTTATAAGGATATCCAAATATTTTACGCTTATGTGTAAAGAACTCAGGGCAAGAAAAGTCCACACGACAGAAACCTTAGTGAAATATTAGTACCTTATTATATTGTAAACATCAAACTGCTAGATTCATAAATCTTTAGAAAATATCACTAGAAAAAGAAAACATTCGATTCAGGTATCAGACAGGATTCGAACCTGCTTCCGCTTTTTGTTGTGATTCGTTCAAGTTTTTTTTTTAATTTGCTGAAAATGTTATAGTTACTATTTTACTATGCTTAGTAAAATACTTAAACTGTACTTGATTGTTTCTCGATTTAGGGATTTGTTTAAGAAATATTTGTCTTTAAAGTGCTAATTTATTTTCGAATAGGGAGCCCCCCCCCCTCTAAAAGATTAACTATTACCTAGAAAAATCTTCAAAAAACATGATAATAACGCTTTTCATAAACTTTTAACTTTTAAGGTAAATTATAATGGTAAGATAGATCAGTTACTTTAAGAGTATGAAAGTAGTTCAATTTATGTATTTATTACCTTTATACCTAATAAATATTCCTTAAAAGAAAACATTAACACTGCAGATGAAGAAATTGCTTGTTAACGCAAAACAATTTGCATTGAAAAATAATATAGAAAAAATAAACTAATTAAAAATCTACAATAAAATATCTACAAACATTACGCGTGGCACGACGCGCACTTGGACAGTGAATCCTTTAACGCTAGAAAATGATGATGTTCGTGATTGATTTTGAAAAGTAATTATCTAGTTTTAATATCGCGCATAATTTGAGAAAAGTACTATACAAGCCTTGGTCACAACAAGGAATTGATGGCCTTACATATGTGTGGCTCGTCTTTGCCTTGGCCTATATTAACACGTTCTTTCATAAATGCCTCTTTTGCTGGGTGCTGTAGTAATGTACTATTTTAGAATTCGAATTTAGAACTCTGAGCAGAAGGCAGAAGACTCTTTTTATGTCTAGAAGATGCTTTACGCATCTCCGCCCACCGGGAGATGCAGAAGAAGAAGACTTAGGTATAGGATAGGCAAACTCGACCCTACCCTTTTCTCCCAGCTCTGAAGCTCGATGAAAAGAGCAGAGCCCTACTCACTGAACTGGACACTACTCCTGCACCGGTCACCCGAAATGAACTCTGAGAACCGCAGTCCCCCGGATGCGTGTCCAGAGTTCAGGTGTGGTCGCGGCTACAGAACAAAATCTATCCTGTGGTCGCGGCACCCGATTTCCAACGTACACCAACATATCGTCAAATATAATTGGGTAGTAAAGATAAATAATAATAATAATTTTTTGATTCATTTTGTATTTTTAGTAACAACTAATCAATATTTTATGTAGTTATAAATAGGTACTGCTAATGTACAACCAATACTAAAATGTGTCAACCCCAAAAAGCGGTCAATGGACGAAATATATTTCAAATAGGTACATTATTTATACAAACAATAAGTTTTGAGATTCAGTTAAGTTCAGCTGATTTCAATTGTATATACTTGACCTAAATTTAACAATTAAAAGTGCTACATTCACATAAATAACTTAAAATAATATTTACATGCGTAAAAAATACAATTTACAATGACAATTCGATAGTGGATTGATTTTAAAAATGGAATAAACAGTCATCGTTAAAAAATGATTTAAAATGGCACCAAACATTTAATTTTCTTTCTCTCCCAAGAAATGCATAACACTGGTTCGAAATTTGAATTAGTACGTTAAAATACTTTTTTTTTATCACAATCGCTTTCTTTTTAAAACAAAACAATGGCTTTAAATATCCAGTCATGGATGTTACAACTACATACATTAATAGAAAAACTTCAGTCTTTTAAATCCGACGTGGCATCAGTATCAAAACGATTGTCACTGATTTTTTAAAGTTACTGACCGATTAAAAATACATTGTTATTTACAGATATCAAACAAAGCTAGACGAAAATACGTTTTTATCGTCTCAAATACCTGTAAGGAATTACCGATTTTTGCCGTCGGTCTCTTGTGTTTTACAGTAATAGGTTACTACACATTTTTTATCAAAGTAAAATAAAATAAATTAAAATAAGCTTTTCAATAAATATTTTAATTTAAAAAACATACTAGCTAGTATGTTGATTGCGTGCTTATATGCAAATATGGTACAAGAGCTTTAGGTAGTTAACTATCCTATGTAACGCTTAATGTCTACACTATTTTATATCACATTATGAAATATCATTCACGTTGATATAAGTACGTTAAATAAAGCTTCTTCAAGACCAATTATGAAATTAGCTGTCATATTTGAAAACCAAATATTTCTGTTCTTAGATTATAGTTTCCAGTGTTTGGTTTATTAGTTTTATCATTTTTATCATCAGTTTTTAGGTTTTAATGTGGGTATAAGGCATCCAATCTCTCTCAATTTGTCAGTGGGTAAGTACTATGGACCGAATATGCTCTGTCTCTCTCTAGCAAATTCGCAAAAAAAGTTCGGAAATTTTGTCTAAGTATATTGAAGTCAATGCAAAAACGGTCTAGGGTCTCAATTCGGAAGTCTTAAACGGTACAAATAATATAATAAAAAGAAAATACATGCCTCATTTACGAACTACTTACGTATCTGCAAGCAAGCATTGAAAAGTGTCAACTAAGTTTGCGTGCAAAGTTATCTCATACAATCGAACACGCATACAATATTTTATATAAGTATAATACTGATCATTTCATTCGTTTAATATTTTAATTGAAATTCTCGCGAGTGTTTATCCTGTAATGTGGGACACTTTTACGATGGCGGTACTTAGGTACTGACTGATAAGCGCGAGCGTTGTACCCGATCCGAACACCCAGGAAGACGCTTTATGCAAATGCTTTTAAGCCACAAATTCCATTAACAGGCTTAATTATAATATGAAAATTATAATTACAAGATAATTACGCTGTTCGATCTCGAAACAGTTATGCGGCGCTGCACCCGGTGCGAATGACTATAAAATAGGTTGTATAATGCTCATTTCATCTTTGCCATTTTTAATGTCGAGGAGTCATTGTTCTATTGGAATGTTTGAACTTTGAAAATGATATTCATAAATACCAATTAAAGTTTAACGGAGTAATCGCATCGAGCGCCCCCTCGGGTGTACAGTGCGTCCCAGAAACATAAAACGATATCTAAAATAAATAAATCACACAACTGACCGCGTAAGGAAACCAACAAACCCAATTTCATTAACAAACGAGGGATGACAAGATGACAGAAATATATCGACGATAAACTGGTCTCATTAATTTCCGAACGACAGTGTCTACAAAAAATAACGTTACCAGATCACATGTTCGCACTTAATAGCCGAATAAATTAAACGAACGAGTAGCTTATTTTAATTTCACGCCAGATCATTTATCGTACATAACAGAAGAAAATAAACAGTGATAAAGAACTATTTACATAAGTCAACATGAAATACGATTTGGACGAATCCGAATAGGAGAAAAAGTGATGCGATATATTATGTACATGGTCCGTTATCTGCCTCCGGGTGCTCGAACTGGTCCACTCGAGTCTTAGTCACAATCACAACCAACACTACGGCCGGGCCGCTTGCTCACTCACAGCACAAGTCACGGGCGTTCCTCCGCCTATAAACACGTGTGCACCACTTTCTCGGTACGACAAACTTTACATTTCACCTCGCAGCACCAATGGAACGTACAATTGCAGCGTTCCACCACAAACATGGTCTCAGTCCGATAGCCGCGACCGCAACACATCAGGTCGCAGCCGTCGACGCCGATGCTAGTGTCGTTGCAGGCACGCCCGTGCGTGCCCGGGATGCCCAGACGAGGGTTCTTCTCGCAGAACCCCGGCGACGACTCCAGATACACGAGATCCTTGGCTCCCGGTGACTTGTGGTCCGGGTTATGCGGTCGCAGTTGGAATCTGTAGCGGTCCCTTCGCGGAACTCTGTGCGGTACCGCGTCGTTCCGCTGCGCGGGCGCTTCAAGGTCGGTGTTCGGCACCATCACCCGCGACGCGCCGTCGAAGCGGTCCTTCAACGCGTCCCCCACAGAGCGGAAACTCGGCAGCCGCATCCAGCACGTCTTCACCGTGCACGAGCCCGACATTCCATGGCACTTACACTCCTGTCGCATCTCGGACTGCACATGCTGTGGACAAAACAAAGCTTTAAGCGTCTTACATCATAAATATTTCCTATCTAAAGAGGTCTATAATGATGTCCGAATATCTTTAAATTCCTTCGATAAGCTTCGATATAGGTGATCGATGATCTTTTAAGCGCACTCCATCGATCGCATCTCACGATCGAGCAAATTGTTACAAATCGTGAGGAGGTGGGCCGGTCGTCACCGCGCGTGGCCACATCATAAATCATGCTCTAGGGACATTCATCATTCTAAGAAGGTAGATAAATGACGTGTGGAGTGGAGACAGTAAATATTTTCCTATCGTCAAGCACGAGCGCTTTGTAGGACGAGAGAATGATATTTATTCGTTTGGTATAAATAGTTGGGAGTATATTATACAGTCTCGGTGTCCAAATATGTGTTAAACAATCGACGGAATGTCGTGAATATTCATCAGGTGGACACCCAATGCGTCTGCCGTGACAAGAATTAAGCATGCGGTTTAATGACGCGTCTGGGTGGCTCTCGAGGCGCCTGGACTTTTTTCGAAGCATTTTGGGAAGGACCGGCCGGTGGGTATGCAAATGTAGGTAAGTACATATGGTGGGGGGAGTGCTTGAGCGCGACGAATGGTCGCGCAGCCGCCACGCCGCCCGACGCATAATTAATATTACACTTAGCGACATGTCAGCCCGACGATCGATCGTCACCCGTAATGGTAATGTAAACACGTAGCGTTGACAATGGCCGTCGCCAGGCGTTCCGTTTAATGAATGTTTATAGCGCTACTGAAGTGGCTATTGGTCAAATGCCGACGGATTGAGTTATTGAGCCAATAAGTGTTTAACTTATGACCGTATCCTAGGGCTGGTGGTGATTAATGGGCTACTTGAGTTGCGATTTCGTGTCGTTATTTGAGATGAGAATGAATATTATCGCTTGGAAAATAGTTATCAGATCTGGGAAACACCTAAAACCCTCTATTGATCGTAATAAAACAGTTCTTATTTATAAAGTCTTCTATGTAATGATGAAAGAAAAAATCGCGTCTAAAGTTTCCAGCGCCGATAATAAATAACTTCGAATTAAATTTTAGACTCATGCGACTAGAGAACACTATCAAAATGCGTCTTTGATGGTGATGGCCATCTTGCAAGCGATTTTACTTAATAGCTATTTGTTTGAGAAATCTTACCGATCTGCCCGCCTCGTTGTTGTGCAAGTTCATCTTCTCCCTTAGCGTCTTCCCCCGCTCGCCCGTGTCCACAAACTCCCTGCTGAAGTGGAAACCGAAGCCGATGTTGTCGCTGCAGCCGCCCCACTTCCAGACGCGCACGTTGGAGGCGGCGGCGGCACGGGAGCGGTGCGGCGCGCGGTCCACGTGCGAGTAGTCGCAGGTGCACGACTCGATGGAGCCTTCGGCGCACGCGCGTGACACCGCGTGCGTCACTCCAGCGCTGGTGATCGCGTAGATGAACGCGGTCTCGCGGCACCCTGGACAATTGGACAAATGATGGTTGAAGATTTGTTGGGGCCGAATGAAGCGTCGAATTTTGATATCCGAACGTCTCGGTAGGAGAATTTTACATTATTTTATTTATGAGAAAATTGAGAGATTGTAATTAAATTTCGTTTCTCTTGATAAACAGAAACTCGAATTCGGTGGAATTTAACTTATTGTAAAATAATCAAAATACCTACAAATCATTATCTTTATCAACGTAAATATGTGGTCCAAATACATAAAGTATTAATTGAATCGTTACAAAGAGGGAGAAAACGAGAGACATAAATTGTTGTCAGTTTTAAATATTGTTTTGGCAGAATATTTACATAGTTATGCGAGGCATTCAAATAATTAATTCAACCCGAATACGGAGGGGTTCATATTTTAATCAAACCACATGATTGCGGGGTACGAGGCAAAAAATCTTATGACATTTCGAATATGTTAGGCATTGTAATTTCGATACACAAAACATGGGGGCTCATCAACTAAATATTCGTGCCGACGCTCGTTCAATCATATCGATATTGTTTACGATTAACCTTTTATAGCTTTGTTTCCGTTTCTTAATTAATACAAAAGAGAAGTTCAAAAAAATTACTTATATTAAATGCGAACCGACTGACATAACATTATGTTGGTAGGTACCGTTTCATTTTATGACATGAGAATTCATACAACAAAAGGTACCATTACAGAGCGAGCATTGCGTTGCATTCATTCATTCGATCGTATACATAAATCGATGCTCTCGTCCCGTATCGAATACTATAAATAATTAATGGCCCGGCATTAGAATTAAATACTCATAAAATACAATTAAAAGAGAGAGGGTATATCTCGTCGATTGAAAATAAAAGAACGTCGTGCATCTTACCTACCCGGGAGATTATAAATTTGATCATTACAAGTGGTACGGCGCGCATCGAATTCTCTCTCTTAATATCGATTTAATAGCCCTCGTACTTTTATCGATTAATACCGTACAACTCTTTGTCTACGTGAGACGATATTATTAACGGATAAACTGAATAATGAACGCTCCTAAAGGAGTTTCGTTTAAAAAACGCATAAACTTACTCAACACACACGAGTGTCGTGTACGTGCATTATCTTGTTATTAATTCACTTGTGCGTAGACATTGTAATTTTACGGCGTAATGCGTATTAATAACAGCTGAGCTATTGTTGGCCTGGTTCTCATTAAAGGTTCGCTCGTGCGAGTGAAGATTATGAGAAATTCTCTGCGGCCCATAAAAGTGCAGCACTCGATAGCGATCGCGGATTCCTGAATAAAAATTGAAGCTTGCAATTAACGCTGTCCTTATGTATCTACTTAATATGTGGCATATCGTAACGACCAGATTTCAAGTCCTCGAATACCTATATCGCTTCGACTTTGGTGGGCCACTGATAATCCAATCGCCGAGGAAGCAACGGCCAAACGTTCGTATTACAAAAAAAATAAGGAACGCAATATTTGTTGTTATTTATAATAATAATATGTGGAACGGATCCCGCGCCAGCTTTATTAAGGCCTCAATAAGCAAATGAAATCATTTTTTTATTGAGTTGTCATCGTGCACCGATATAAATTACCGCGCGCACTCCGCTGCGACTGCGAGCGAAGCCGGGGCGTATTTTTTTCTCCCTTCATTCGTCTTTTTTCTCTTTTCTTTGCTTTCCTTTTTGATGTTACACAAAAGTATTTTATTCAGCAATTACTTGAGACGTTCGAGCGGGAATTTTAATGTCAATTTCGCCATCATTCAATGCTTGGACGAAATTAATTCAAGGCACAGATACATATACGAGAGAGACTGTGCTGTGCATTTATCTTCTGTAATGACTTGAAAACGTTCTCGCATTCACCACGGCTAATAGGTGAAGCCAATTAAATATGGCACACGTAAATAACGCTCGTAAAATGATAGCTTTCGGCTAATCCGATTTACCGTGGGGACTTGTAATGTGCAAATAAATGTCGGAGATGTTTAGACCGGTACATAATGTCTTATCCTCGGCCCGATTGCTCGTAACTACGCATTAACAAATAGCTGATTTAAGGTGAAATGCATGCTCAATATGTAGCATCAATGCTAGGTATAGGTGAAGTTAGATGTCTATAAGTATTGGTGATAATCGATTAATGTTGATAGTTTATCTATACTAATATTATAAAGAGGAAAGATTTGATTGTTTGTTTGTAATGATACGCAACTACTGGGCCGATTCGAATAATTCTGTCACATTTAGAATCCTTCATTATCCATAATGAACATAAGCTATAATGCTTTTTTCAAAAAAGTTAGGGTTCCGTACGAAAACTTCCATAATGTAACCCAATGTGTGTAAAAATACCAAAAAATAATAAAGTATGGAATAAAGGAGCGTAAGGGAGTGTAAACCCTTACGCTCCTTTATTCCATACTTTCCTTTATTCCATAAGTCCCTGCGCCGGCGAATAGGGAGCCAATTAAGTTTAGAATGGAAGTGTGAGGCATGGTTGTACTTACGGTGGTAAAATTAATCTAATACATACATTTAGCAGACTTTCCAGTTTATTTAGGAGTTCCTCGGAAAGGTCAGTGTAACAGACATCAGCATAGTCAAGGGTAGGCAGTAAAAGAGTCTGCGCCAGAGTGATTTTGGTACTTGTGGGCAAAAAGTTGCGTTGCGGTTAAGTGAGCTATATGCAGCAAAAATTTTCTTCCTGACAGCCTCAACCTGAGTTCTCCAAAAGAAACACTGATCAAAGACCACCCCAAGGTTTTTGACAGTACTTGATAAAGGGATATTAGTCCCATCAAAGGTTGAGGTGAGGTAAGGTTTATAATTATAATGAAAAGGCATTGTGTATAATAGCGTATGTGTATAATATAACAAGCCTTTGAGCAAAAACTATAGACTACACTACAGCACTACACCGAAGCGAAGCGAGGGCGAGCCACTAGTTACTGATAACAAATTAAGATGAATTTACAATTCAAATTGATCAGCACAAGTACTTCTGGCAAATCAGTTTTCCAAAGGTCTTTATTTTTATTTGAATGCTTGAGATTTCTTTTTAAAAATAAAATATATTTTTTTTTGTACCCATTTCAGGGTAGTTACCGTGGATATGAACAAGTTTTTAACCATTTCTTCTTTATGACTCACTTGAATCGTTTAAACTTTAGGTAAGACAGTATAAAAGTCTATATTGTTTTTGAATGATCACATAAAACTTCTTTAATTACCCTTCAAAATACAATATCGTTTAATCAGTCTAAGCTGTTAAAAGCACTTGTGAATGTCGAAGAGCTACGCCATTGGTTCGCAAATCTACGGCAGGAGACCCTGGACTAAAAAGTACCGGCAAAAAACTCAGGAAGGGCTGTATTTTTCCCCTGTACTATATACAGAACCATCAAATTGAAAAATGACTTCAATATGAGATAACTCATGAAGTCACCCTAAAAATGTAGGTACTGAAAAAAATATTTAAATATTTTAAAAATAGATTTTTAGGTAATTAGATTTGAAAGAAACATTTTAATAGAACCACGTAGGTATATCCTGATTAACAACAACAGTTATATAATATTAAGATATCTCCTGTTGTATCAAGAATGTTGGTCATCCCATCACAGCTATGACATGTTGCGTAACATGCACACATTACTTAGCGAGCGAAACCGCGGCGTTCCATCTGCGGGATACCAGGTGCCCTACCTACGAGTACCACGTGCTGCGATATCTTCATACGACCATCTGCTTTGCCCAGATGCGACCGAGTACCTGCTGTGATTTTTATTTCGCTACTTTTACTTTATCACGTATCACCCGTCTAACGGGAAACCACTATCTACTCAATTATGACCATAAACGGCCACTGGAAATAATTTTTAATTGATCACTGTGAGAATTTTTATGTTCCGATCGATCGGCGGTGATGATTCATCAGTCGTCCGACGTGTTTTGACATCATTCGGTAGTGAAGTTAATATGGGACGCATAAATAAGCTATGCTTAAGTTATTTTTTATAATTTATATCAAATGCGACGCGCTGTGCGTCTGAACACGCAACAAAGGAGGTTGTCGCGTTTTGCGACGGAATCGCGACGTAGAAAAATGATGACAAATGTAAAGGGGTCCCTACCGCGAGGCCGTATTAGTCATGGCATTAAATAAAATGTAAATAGCCTGCGTACCTAATTAAGTACCTAAACAACAGTTATATCCGACGCAGCGCCTACCGCTCAGTCACCAATACAAATAGCCTTCAGATCCCAGTCACAAAGGACTCGTATTAAGCATACGCAATTAAGGTACGCCATTATTTTATTAAGGCAATTTCGCCCCATCAAATCGCAGTCAAATAAGAACAAACATGAGTAATGTGGATCTATAAAAGTAAATTATTATTATAACTGATAATAAAGTGCTGTCCGTGGATTATCTGTGCAGATAATAAATGGTCCCGCGGTCGGTTTACAGCGCGGCCAGCGAGCGATAATTCCATCGCAGCGACTGCCAGTTAAGGCGAGGCGTTGAGAATTTATAAAAGTCAAAAACTCGTAAATCCAACCGCGCGTACCGCTGACCGCTCACTAAAATAAACTTAATCAATGTTGACATTTGACGAACACCTGGCCTCACGGGGCGAGCCATTAAATAATTCAAAATTAATGCACTAATTAAATATGTTCCTGTCCGCATTAAGTCATCGCGCGAGCCGTTTCCACAAGATTAATCTGAGGGATTGACTTATGACGGTTCGCGCGTCGCGCCCCGCGCCTTATTTATGACGACTTACATTATTCAAATTTGATGAGACGTAATTACTCAAAACAGCCATAAATCACTCGTTTTATAATAAGATGTTTGGCCGGTTTAGAGAACACGCTCTTTATCAAGATACGATGTAGTCATTGACGTCTTATTATTCGATTCTAACATTGAGAATAATGACACTTTATGTAGCCAAAGATGAATCATTCTAATTCGTCGCACCGTCTGGGGAGTAATGAGAGTGCAATTCTCTCTATCTACAAGGAGCACAGGAATAGATGGAAATAGTAATTTCTGCAACGAAAGAACATATAGGACGGGCAATAAAATGCAATAATTCATTTTCGTTATGCCGTGTATGGGTGATAATTTCACATTGAGCCAGCGCTCCGAGGCTTCACAACGACAATTCAAAATTACGTCGGTCGTATATCAGTCATTGTGAGTGGCACAATGAGCGCTGCTACCACCGCTACCAGCCATCATGGCACCCATTCACGCGCCGCACAAAGGCATTTGTTTTCAAACTATAAAAAAAGTACCGAAAATAATTTTCGTTTCAGTCACTTCTCCATAAACAATAAAATCACAACACTCGACGACGACGGATAGCGATAAAAACGTGAATGCTCGATGTCACGTCCCTAAATCGAAAATAAATCGGTCCGTTTCAATTTCACAAAACGTGTATATTAACTAATAAAAACAAAAAAAACAATTCGATTGCCGCCACCAAGCCGAAAATCCTTATCTAATTGAGTATTAAATATTTCGTCGAGGGCATTTTATATCTGTTTTATTCTCGGTGTCGATCGTTTTATACATTTATCCACCCACGTAGATGGAATCTGGTGCTGACGGGGACACACACCAAAACAGGAAATATTCGAAAAAAGGTCGTTCTTTATCGGCCAAGTTACCTGCTATTAGGAGCTGTATTAGGTGTAAATGTGGCTTCCGTGAGGGCGAGCAGTCGAGTCGCTAAACCTCGCCGCAGGAGGGCGCTCACCGCGGGATCTCGAACCATATATTTCTCTATTCTCAGGTCAACAATGGTGTGACGAATAAAGGTTGGCCCATTGTGCCGTTGTCATCATTTGTGTTAATGCGATCCTTGAGGTTTACGCCACAATGCGATGAAGATGTCGCGTCCGAGACGCGTCAATAGTGTGTCAACGTGTAAATTAGTAATTATTCGTGTCCGAACCGGGGGGGCTTTGTGCGATCTGCGCGTAATTATGGACGTCGACGACCCTATTCACGAGTTCGAGATATGATGAACTCTAAGCTGTTTTGTTTGTTGTTGTTTTTTTTCTCTTTCCGTATCCCTCTCGGTCTTCTGTCACACACAGCCAAGCGGCGCGCCCCGCCGGGATCTGCTGCCAGTTTTTATGCGTTTATCAAACGAGCGTAATTGCAATGTATTAAAAAGTTTATTGTAGATATTTGCGTCGGCTCGATGCGCGTGATTCGCCCGCCCTGCCTGCCCTTAATAAAGTAATATGCCCTAAATGCACACGCATATAACATAAATTTCGTAATCTCCTTGCTCTTTTTATCAAGTGAAATTATTATGATGGTGGTCCCGGAGCACCCCGTGCTATATCTGGTTTTTAATTTAGAAAAATGGTACCTACTTAGTTTTTATAGTTTGTTCTGTTCGATTATATGTCAGTATTTATTTTTGCTCTAGGCGATTTCGTTTTATAGTGGCATATATTATCTCAGTGTGGTTAATGAAACGTAAAGCCGTGTTCAAGATTAAACAGGAATAATTTGTCTTTATGTGGATACTGGTTTATTGTAGTTTATCGCTGTAATAGGTCCGTCCCATTTGCATGTTTTAATTTACAATCGATTGTATAACACACTTTAAGAATACAGCTGAACATGATTAAGATCAATAGTTAATTTCAACCACTTATTTAAAGCTTTAACAGGAAGCGAATAACAATTATATTTATTTAAAAAAGAAACAAATTAAGTATGAAGTTTCATTGCCTTGGGATTGACATGTTTATATATGGAATCACTATAAGAAAGATGTTATTTAGGTATAAGTATATCATGTTATTCTTTGCTACGGTAACATCAATTGAAAATTTGCCAAAAAGGAACTACAAAGTTCTCTAAATATACACATATGAAAGTGGCTACTAAATTAATAGCTAACACAAAAGGAGTCAAAAAGTAGTGTCGAAATTTTAAGCCGAAAGTTATTCCAAGTTACCTGTCCTTGTTTATACATTGATGTCGCTCGCCATAGCCGGAGGCGAATGTCGACCGCACTCCATATTTTTTTCAACACGATAAACATTTGATTTGTGTAAACATATAAATCTAATTGCTATTAGTTACTAATTTACTTTTCGATGAATATTAATCACGTGTTTTGTATTTTATCACTCGCCTGACAGGAACTCAATTATAACTGTTGATTCGATAGAAACTCAACTGACCCCTTTCATGGCGACATTTTCTTCACTGTCGCAAGTTCATAATGCAATAGTTTCGCCGTGTAAGCTCGTGGTCTCTGGACTAAAAAGTTCGAAGTGCATCAACTAATAGAAACATCTCACGAAAACGTTTGCACAATTCATTAGCGTAATGGTAGCCGAGGTCAATAACCGGGCCTGCAACGTCGACCAACCGATATATAGAGTAGAATTCGAAATGAGTTCGAATTAGCTCGAGATACGGGAGCGGGCGTTCTTAATTTTCAAGATAACCCCCTAATGCGGGCACCACTAACTACGTTTCACGAAAAGCGTTCTGTTATTATAAGCTTTTTATTGATATTGAAATTCTGATTGATACGCCACGTAATCTATACGCTCAATCACGAGTACTTATTATTATGGATCGCAACGAAAATACATTATGCGTTGTAAAAAATAAATAACATAATCGAATCACATCATGCGTTTTTTGCGTTTGTTGAATAAAGCCTGTCGAAAACACCAGATGTTCGCGAGTTCATAATAAGGCGTATCGCACACAAAGAATCGAAATCGGACACCGGGGATAGGACAATTTTGAATCAAGATACAAACAAATGCGTTGCCGTCGCGAATTTTGTTGCCAAGCGAAAATCAACTGTAACACTATTAAGGATACAGTGCAAACCAATTATCTTGCAGCCCATTACTAAACTCAGCGCACAGCTTGTTTAAAAACATTTTAATTCTAAAGCTTAAGTTACAGGACTAAATTAACTGTTATTATTGATCGTGTTTTATACAATGTAGTAATAAATTTCAACGCAAAAGCCTGCAGCCAGAGTAATATCTACAATCTGTTACATTCAATTGGACAACTAGTATTATGAAGGGATCTATTTGTTGATAACGATCTACTGATAATAATCAACTTTTATTGAAATTATACTACTGAAGCGGACTTGAAGTGTATTAGTAATAGGGTAAGATACATTTTCTTGCTTCAAAGAGAAGAAAAAAGCAAATAGAATTGATGAAATCGTTGAAAATTGTTATGTGTATCATTACCTCTTATTATACGAAGGAATCATAAGAAAGTACAGTTGTATTTCAATTTATTAAAACAACATTCAATAAAGAATTCAAAAGGAGAAATCAAAAAAGGAACACATACAATACAAAATAAAAGGAGAGAGAACTCAAACGTCATTCGGTCGCATGTAATTGATCCAGGATGTTTTATCTTGATGAGCCCTTTAAACGTGCCCCCGACTCGCTACCCTCCCGTTGAATGCTGATAAAATCTTTTCTAAAGGGTTGCCAACTAAAGATATCACTTAATTTGTAGCCTCTCTTTGTAACTGGAATTAGGAGCTCGTAAAAATATAAAAAAGAAACCTTTTTGTAAACATTTTGCAGTACCTTTAACTACATGTAAGTACAACACGACACAACATTTTGTTTGCAGGGTTTTTTTAAAAACAACGTTTTATACATCTCAATAGGCTGTAATCTGTTTCTTTAGTACTTTAGAAGGGCCTTTGAGGCTTATCGTCTTATGTTCATTTCGTTCTTTTTGTGCGCTTTGTGTCGCGGTGTCAAATCGAGACTGACGCGTGTTCTTAAAAATACGCCATTAAATTTTTTATTGTTTACGCTTTTTTATGCGTTGGCGACAATCGTGATCTGAGCATTAAGACCTCGACCGCTGTCAACTGTTTAGTGTTCATTAATAAAATCGGTTAATCTGCTTACCTCTGTCGACGATCTTGCCAAATAAATTCTTCCCCCTCAAAAAGTTTCTGGTTGAGCAGTTCCACCTTCTGTGTTTGAATTGGTGTTGGCACTCAGCAACCGCCATGTTGGCACCCTTCGCGACTGCCGCCAATACGCCAGGGTTCTCTCTAGCTAGCCGCCGCTGTTTCCTCCTCAGCGTCGCGTGTACCGCCGGGTCCATATACAGAACTCCAGGTGATAGAGGCGACAGGTTATTTGGTTCCCCCGCTTTGGCAATTCCCCTGCAGAACAAAAAAATAACCCTGAAGTAGGCAGTCGCACGTAAAAAGCTGCAGCGTTTACACGCGATAAGGACTTTTGTCGCCGTCGCGAAAGACAATGCCAGAAAAAAGGCCGAGCTCCCAAAAAAAGCAAATATGCCGAACGCCACTTAAGGGCAATGGGTTCAACTCGAAATGAAATGCTCATTTGAAAAGGCAAAGACAATAAACAATTGACGGCTGAACTGTCAATCCGAAGACGTTTGTGTAAACATTTGCGTGGAGCATTAATCCTTGAGGGTCGGCAAACAGCGATCGAGATCACCGATGTTGACTCTGCCGGGAAGTCAGACTCGCCACTTAAGATTGCCATCTCATTGCATAAGCAATAGCGTGGCGATAATGATGTATGTGCGATCGACGACTAAAGAGGACGTCGTTAACAGAAATAGTGGCGGAATCTCAAATGTCATTGAACTTCACCGAAGATTGTGGGAAATTTTTGGCGACACATAAATAATATTATTTATCTTTCTAAACTGCATTGTATTGATACGGTTTTCGTATGTTTTTAACACATGTTGTTCTATTATGGCAATTATATATTATAAGTAATACATCCGCACACGCTACTTGTTTATTAATAGGTACACTATGAAACGAATTTAAATTATTATAAAACGCGTACGTAAGCAACCAGCGGCACAGGCTATCAAAAGTAATAAACTTTTATAAACCGATAAATAGGCTATAATAAGAAAAAGAGGATAAAAAACTATCATAGAAAATATGCGAGAAAATCAAAGTCAAATATCAACTATATAAAATTATACACCGCTTCCAATTTTGAAAACAGAACTAATTACGCTGCCCAATATTTTCCCGCTTTCGCTTATCCTCATAAATCGTAGCCTCAAAACTCGACCACTTTGACAGAGCGTGCGCACGGGAAATCGTATTACTCCTCTGTTTACTCTTCTTTGTGGTCGAGTGTTACGCAAACACAGACTCGTTCCTTTGGTTGGTACCCCATTTCCTCCGGGAACTTACCACGCCCGTTGTCTTTACTTTTAACCAACTAATTAAAAGAGGTAACATTATGAATGCGAACGCACGAATCGATTGTTGATGTTTTAATAACGTTCCTTTGGAGTCTGTATTAACTGCTAAATATATAAAAAAACTAAATATAAACAAAAAAAGGAGATTTTTTTATAGTAATTTTCGTCACTGTTGTAAAAAGACAGTTTAATTAATGGTAGATATACTTTATGTCACAACTAATTGTTTTATTACTAAAAAGTGGGATAAAGACTTTATAACTGTTGAAAGTAACTTTGTAAATTTCAGATATTGATGGAATTACACTTATTAAACAATATTTTATTTTATTTTTATAAATTTATAGTTCAAATGTATGCTATAAGGCAATTGACACTCATATTACATACCCACATTTTTTAGTAATAAGTTAAACAAATATGACGTTACAAAATAGTTTAGAAACTCACTAAACGGTTAAGTAACATGTGACGTAGTTTGACACAGTTCCATTATTTGTTCGCGACAAGGCGATCATTCGTTTGTGATTAGCACTTTTTCACTTTAAATCTGATATTTAGTTTAGCTTTGTAGCACGACAAGTGAATAGTGCGTAACTGAAAAATATTTTAGTTTCGTGTCTCGAAATGACTTTTATCGTTTTAAAGGAATGAATAAATATTATGGGTATTATGGAGGCTATATTATGTAAACAATACATAAAAAATATAAACAGTCGAACACAGAATCTCCTTCTATTTTTGAAGTCGGTTAAAAAATACAAACAAGCATTAGGCCCGCCTGATGATAAACGGCCACCAAAGTATTGCAATTTTTGAACACTCACTTACAACATTAACTTTTCAAGTGTAAGTAAGTATATATATATATATATATATATATATATATATATATATACTAGCTGACCCAGCGAACTTCGTACCGCCCTAAAAAAATAGGGGTTGTCCAGCGGACAAAATTCTGAACCTAAACCATACTCAGATCCCCTTGAACACACACAAAAAATTTCATCAAAATCGGTCCACACGTTTAAGAGAAGTTCAGTGACATACACACTCACAGAAGAATTATATATATAAAGATATATATATATATATTTAGTCTAAGTTTTTAATCATTCAAAAAATATGTTTTAAATAATCTGCCAACTTGAAATCAACATCATTTACACCACATACAGCTTTTATTGACTTACATGAGAAGTGGATATCACCAATTTCTGTTTCAATGGAGTGTTAAAAAGCTATTTATTTAAAATCTGTGGTCAACGGTGTTGGTTTCATAAACACCTAAACCATATAATTGTTATTCATCATCATCAGACTATTAGTGTCCCCACTGCTGGGGCACTGGCCTTTCCTATACTTTGATGGAATTAGGAGATTGGGACTTGAGTCACCACGCAGGCCCAGTGCGGATTGGTGGGTGTGCTAACGACTACAGATGCAGCCGGGACCATCGGCTTAACGTGCCTTCCGAAGCACGGAGGAGCTCGTGATAATAAATTTTTAATCACCCATCCAATGACCGACCACTGCGATTATTTACCAGTATTATTATTATTATTTTTAAGAATTTATTTTGTAAAGCTGTTAGTTGACCCAAATAAAAAAAAACCATTACAGCAATAAGCCTAGCCCCAAAGTAAGCACCATAAGGGCTGTGTTATGACAAACTGAATATATTTAAAAAGAAATACATATAAACTTCCATGAGTTGGGTGCAAATTCTCGTATTCATTACACAAACATAGCCTTACCGGACTTCGAACCGGTATCTCTAAGTAGGAGACTATTTGAAACCCAGCGAACTGGCATACCACTCGGCCACGGAGGTAGGCAATGCCTAAGAAAAACACCCTTCACGCAAGCCCCAAACCGTTGGAACCTGGAAACCTAACTCATAAACAGTAACACAACACAAACAAAAGTTAGTGTCACTTATGCCATTGTGATCTTACTCTCTCAGATGGGTGCAGCAACCCTGTGGAAATACCGATAGGATCTAACTACCTACTAATAAATGAAATGACTTTCTTATAACTGAAAATCTTAAAATAAAAACAACTCAATAATCCATGGTACAAATTCCAACCAAATAAATAAATAAAAAATAAAAATGATGATGGCGCTTGCAACAGTAACGGAGTAACAGTCAGTTACTCCGTGATCATGGGGCGCTTGCAACAGTGCCGATATATCAGAAACTCGCTAAAAACAAGGTACATGGTAACAATCCCGTAAACAACTTATATTACTATAATGTTAGTGACCATGAAAGTTTAAAACAATGTAATAAATAAATATTTCCAACAATCACACCAATTACCCTAGCCCCAAAGTAAGCACTGTAGGCTTGTGTAATGGGACACTAGTGTAACTGATAGAATACATACTGATAGATATATAAATATAATTATATAGAAATACATATTAAAAACATCCATAACTGGAGTACAAATGCTCGTATTCATCATACTAAAATTTGCCCTCACCGGGATTCGAACCCGGAACCTCTCGGTAGGTGGACTAATATCTAATGTTTTAGATACACTAGTCGATGTAAATTTTGACTATTTAAAGTCCTTAAAGGGATACATACTCTCTTTTTCCTTTAAACAAGTGATTTTTATTAATTTGGTGTGTGGCCTCAAGCTAACTTAAAAACTCTAGCTCTGAGCAAAGATATTAAATGAGAATTATCGTCGAAATTCAAACATTTTATTCTTCGGCTACCACTTCATATACATTTAGAAATGAAAAAAATGTATTAAGTAATATATTTTTATCTGTTTTCTGGGTTTTGCCAAAAGTTTGAATTTTGTAAAAACGACCTAGGTACTTATGTTGCGGAAAACATGGATATAAATACTAATTACAGAACAGTTTTATTAGTACTTAGTCATAACTGACTAAATTGTTTATATTAAAGTGCGTCAGTATAAAATACCTTATAATTGCGGTTTAATTCTGTTTAAGTTAAACACAATTAAAAACTGGTTCATCATATTAAAACACGACAATTTCAAATTAATTATCCACCCATTTCATTGTCGTCAAATAATTGGATTCACACGGACACGAGTAATGACAAATTTAATTTTGTTAATTAGATAATAAATAATAAGCTATTGGATTTTTTATCTAGTTAAGTTAAATGATTTTCGCTGTTTAACAGAAGAAAAACTTTACTGTCAAATCACACTAATATTATAAAGGCGAAAGTTTGTGAATGTGTATGTTTGTTACTTCTTCACGTTAAAACGGCTGAAGCGATTTTTATAAAATTAGGTATGGAGCTAGCTGACACCCTGGATTAACATATTGGCTACATTTTACTGCGGGAAAGTATCTTATTCCCATGGGATAATGTTAAAAAAAGCAACGTTCAAAGTAAAAATCACATGACAAAGCTATAAATTCAGATAATACTTGCTCGTCTGAAAAAGGTCTAAAATCACATTTCGAAAGAATCTAAAGCTTGTTAACATATAAATACATTTATTTTATAATTTTCAATAATAAAGAAATGGGGCAATTTTTGTCAATGACGTCCGCAGCGTAAGTGTTATAAGGTTATTTCTTGGTATTTTTTTCACACTCTGGGTTACATTATTGAATTTTTCATACAGAACCCTAACTTTTTGAAAATAATCTATAGCCTATGTTCAGTGATAATATAGGATTCTAAATGTGTAAGAATTTTTTATATTGATCCAGTAGTTTCGGAGCCTATTTGATACAAAAACAAACAAATCTTTCCTCTTTATAATATTAGTATGGACTACTACATGTCTTCAGTCCACAGCCTTAAAATACAGGAAAACTCTTGGGAAACTCCAAGTACCTACTATAATCAATCTATCCTTACGATGTTTCCTCAAAACCCAGGAAATTAACTGTGTACCATATTGCATATAACTTAAACATTTATTAAAATAATAGCTGTGTCCCGCGGTG